TCACTCAAGTCTTTCCACTTGCCCATTTTTTACTGCTTCAAACACATGAAATATAAGAACTGACTGTTCACTTGCTACCCAATATACCTTACATCTTGACAGGTGTTATTGTAACAATATAATCAATGTTATTCACTTCACCTATCAGTGGTTTTAATGTTGTGGATGATCAGGGTACAGAGGCATCTGTAGCTTCCAGAAACACCTAACACCCCTAAGAATTAGCTGTCTGACATTATAATAATAATTAAAACAAAAAAACAACCAAAAAAACCACTAGTATCCTGCTGCCCTGTAGAGATCTGTAACTAAAGAGCACCACATCCTAGGATTCAGTACCCAAAGCCATCTCCCCTCCATCATCACCTTTGCATTCAGATGCGGATCTTCTTACTGTATCTTTGGTGGATAATTCCTCATCTTTATGGTTCTTACAACAGACTCTGTTGTCTGTTGTAAGTGAAAACACCTTTCTTCAAGTCTCAATGAGTGACCTCTTGTCTGTTGTATATTCCTGCTAATGAACAGGTTAAGGTGCAATGAATTGCATAGAGACATCACCTAGCTAGTAGAATACAGTTCACATGTGTGAAAATAACTTAATCAGAAAATGTATATAACTGTTTTTGAAGGGCTGTAGACGTTATTGGAGAGCATATCTAAACAAACAATTCCATTAAAACCACTGGGTTTTGAAATCAAGTCCAGAAATAACTTCTGGACATGTATCAATCAAGAATGGCTTATAAAAATATTCCAAACTGTGAACATACCCTGAATCTCAACTGTCATTCTGCCAACAAAATGCATCCAGAATTATGCAGTTGGGTAAGAAGAGTATTTGTCATAGATTCAATCATGAAATCAATTATAACTCTGAGGGAAAAATGCATATGCTCAGATTGGAGAAACCATTAGACTTGCAGATTTGGGCTCTCACAGCCAGGGCCGGACTGGCCCACCGGGATACCGGGAAATTTCCCGGTGGGCCGTCGGCACCTGGGGCCGGGCAGACACCTGGGTCTGCTGTCGGCCGCTGGGGAGGTCTTCTGGCGGCCGCTGGGCGACTTGTCCTGGCGGCCGCTGGGGGAGCTGCGCTGGCTCTGCTCCCCAGCGCGCAGCTGAACGAGACCGGTGCCGGAATATGACGTCTCATTCAGCAGCGCGCGAGGGTGGGAGAGCAGAGCCAGCGGCCGCCAGGACAAGTCCCCCAGCGGCCGCCAGAAGATCTCCCCAGCTGTAAAAGTCCCCCAGTGGCCCACAGAAGACCTCCCCCTGGCAGGTATTAGTAATCTGTCTGTCTGTGTTATCATGTCTGTCTGTATGGTGTGTGTGTGTCTGTCTGTCTGTCTGTGTTATCATGTCTGTCTGTATGGTGTGTGTGTGTCTGTCTGTGTCATGGTGTCTGTCTGTCTGTATGGTGTGTGTGTCTGTCTGTGTCATGGTGTCTGTATGGTGTGTGTGTGTGTGTCTGTCTGTCCGTCATGGTGTGTGTGTGTGTCTGTCTGTCATGGGGTGTGTGTGTGGTGTGTGTGTGTCTGTCCATCATGGTGTGTGTGTGTGTCTCTGTCCATCATGGTGTGTGTGTGTGTGTGTCTCTGTCAGTCATGGGGTGTGTGTGTCACTGTCCGTCATGGGGTGTGTGTGTGTGTCTGTCTGTCCGTCATGGGGTGTGTGTGTCTGTCTGTCCGTCATGGGGTGTGTGTGTCTGTCTGTCTGTCATGGGGTGTGTGTGTCTGTCTGTCTGTCTGTCATGGGGTGTGTGTGTGTCTGTCTGTCATTCATGGTGTGTGTGTGTGTGTCTGTCCGTCATGGTGTGTGTGTGTCTATCTGTCCGTCATGGTGTGTGTCTGTCTGTGTCATGGTCTGTCATGGTGTGTGTGTGTGTCTGTCATGGGGTGTGTATCTGTCATGGTATATGTGTGTTTCTGTGTCTGTCATGGTGTAAATGAGTGTTTAAAAATAGTGTTTTTGCTCACCTTTTTTTTTCCCCACGCAGCGTGCTGGTCTCCCCTCGACTGGCCCTGCCTCTATAGCTGAGATCATCAAGCTTGATGATCTCAGCCAATCCAATGCTTTGCCATAGGATTGGCTGCAAAACACCACTCCAATCAGCATCTCCTCATAGAGATGCATTGAATCAATGTATCTCTATGGGGAACGTTCAGCACCTACAGAGTGTGGAGGCCCTGAATGTAGGTGCACTAACACAGGAAGCACCTCTAGTGACCGTCTGAGTGACTGTCACTAGCAGTGTCACTTTGAAGCAATGTAAACACTGCCTTTTCTCTGAAAAGTCAGTGTTTACGTTGAAAAGCCTGTAGGGACATGCTATAGACACCAGTACCACCACATTAAGCTGTGTGTGTGCGTCTGCTAGTGAGTGAGCTTGCTTGCATGCGTGTCCCTGCTAGTGAGTGAGCTTGTGTTTTTATGTCAATGAGCTGATGTATATCAGTAAGATTGTTTGTCTATGAGGCTGTGTATCAATGAGCTTGTGTGTGTCATTGAAATGTCAGTGAAATTGCCTGTGTCTGCATGTGAGTATGCTTACTTTATAATTAAATGTTTTACCCTGAAAGAACCAATATTTTATATTAGAAAAAGCAATATATATATTACTCAATCATCTGTCCTGGCAAGACATAGCCTTACATATTACACGCGACAATATATGGCGCAGTGACTTATGGGGCTGGCACAATTTTTTTTTCCAGGGCTGCTTTGTATCCCCAGTCTGGCCCTGCTCACAGCCCCCACCTATAATTTAGTTAATCAGCCATGATGTTGATGCGATTGTCCACGGGCTTTGCTAGAAAAAAAATCCATCTTCATTTATGGTGGGCCCTGCACAGAATGAGCTTACAAGACGGAGAAACCCCTTTGATGAGGGCTTTACAATGCTTTAGAAGCCATCCAAACAGAGCATTCTGACTGAAATTACATAGAGTGGAAAGTCCTATGCAGTACGATTATTATTTGTTTATATTTATATATATATATATATATATATATATATATATATATATATATTTTATTTTATTTTTTGAAGATGGATTTTTTAAAAAAATTGTTTTTGCAAATTAAGTCATCTTTTTATTATTAAGAGCCTTAATTTTTTTTTTAATGGTTTTTGATTTGGCCTTTTGGGGGCTAAAGAAAAGATGATTTAAGAAAAAAAAAAAAGCTATCTAAAAGTATATATATATATATATATATATATATATATATATATATATATATATATATATTTTTTTTTTACTTTAATTTACAGGTATTAGATGTATTGGGCCTTCCTCACTATTGAGGGAGTAGGTAGATTTTTTTTTTTTTGGGGGGGGGGATTTGGCTTGGTTCAGGAGGGAGGGAGACATTACCCACAACATGTAAATATGTGGACATTGGCATGTCAACCCCCCTTATCATATTTAATACCCTGCCTGAAGTCCATGGGTGGGTGGATGGACAATTGCATGTCTGCACCCCATTGATTATTCATTATGTCACCAATGTGTGGGCACTGGGGGGAAATTAGTTCCCTTAATTTTTCAATATGAGAGCTCCCAACACTCTGCCCATGTGTGGTGGTCGGGAGGACACTAGTTCCAATTATCAAAAGCACCTACTGCAACTGGACTTATCAGACACCAGTCTTTTCTTTTTTTTAAATTCTTTATTTTTAGTTGACATAAAGTACAAATACGTTCCGGGCAGAATTTCTGACCCAATGTGAACTTAGTACACAAGGTATATAACGGCAGATACAAATCGATTTCACATCGTTAGGCAAAAGGCGGTACAATAGTAAGAGATTTACATATCCTTAGGCAGTATACATTGGTCTCATCTTATCTGGCCTTGTGGTGGTATAAATCTAGTCAACATTAGTTTTTATGTTAATATAAACAATACCTACGCATATACTGGTTTTGCTGTATGATATACATCTTGGTGATGTATAATCTGGAGGTCGTGACCCTGACCCTTATGGTCTTATTCTGCGCTTTGTTTTTGCGGTGTTTAATTTCTGGGGGGTCTGTGCCCCATCCTTCGTCTATTGGCCCAGACTCTATAATGTGTCAGCGTTCCGCTATGGGTCGCGGTGGGGTCACAAGGTACCTCCACCAGATAGTGAGGGCCCATAGGAGAGGCTGATGTCTGCCTTCTCAGTGCCTCTCATACACTATCACCAGTTCTCGGTAAGACCTCCCCATGAGGTTGGGGGGTTAGGTACTGCTAATAGAATATAGAAAGAATAGATAAAGCAATAAGTGATAGAAAGAGTGGGGGGGGAGGGGGGTGATATGATGGAGATTTCTAGCTCTTGACTGCCCTGAGTTACAAAATTATATCTATCAGATGGGGGGGGGGAGAGGTGGGGAGCTAACATTTAGACACTAGTCTTTTAATACAGTGAGTGTAACAGATGACAGCCAACACCTACCTTTCCTGGGGTGCACGCGGGCATTAGGGCATCCGTTGGCTTGGAATTTAGTTGCTTTGCCGATCCCCTGAAATTCAGTTGAATCTTTATTCTGTCAAATCTAAATCTCCTAGTCTAGAAAATGTTCAGTACAGGCACTTTTAAAACATACTACTATTCAAACTCAAGTGGTCTATTCAACTGATGATAGAGTTGCTTATAAATGGCCATTTCGCAAAAGTGTGAGATTTCTGCTTTTATAGTCTAAAGTTTCAGGTTCCTTCTCAAGTTACCAATCAGTGCTTTAAGAATAAATTTACTTGAGAAAAAACAGAAAGTAGATTTATCATAAGCATTTATACTTTTTTATGCAAAAGCCATATCTCTGTGTGAACAAAAGACAGCATTATTTGCTCAGCTAATTACCTATATGTTCCATAAACACTTTTTATGACCATCTCCTCCCACACAATTTAAACAGAGAAAAATGACTTTACTTCTTAGTGGAAGTGAAGGCTCCTGATTCACCATGTTGCAAATGTGACCATATGACTTTGGAGACAGAAAACTTGCAAATATGGGAAATATTTGGAAAGTTGCATTCATTTTTTTCATTTTTAAGTTCTTTATTTTAAAGACTGAAGGGTGAGTGCTGTTACATATTTATTTTATTTTTACCTTGCGGTAAATTTTAACTATTTGTAATTATCTTTACATTTTTGAAACATTTTAATATATTGGAGATTATTATGTATTATGATTCTACTCAATGTAATATTGAAATTGCATGCAGAACATCGGCTTGGTGCTGCAATAATTGAAATATCTCTTTGGATAATATATTTACGAACATTTGAAGAGTAATTCTACTGAGATCTATTTGAAATATAATTGCTTTTAGTTAAAAGAACATGTTAGGCACCAATACATATTTATCCAGTGTGTTGATAAGGCTACAGTTAGATATGCTGAGTGGGTTTTAATTAATTGTAATAATATTTATTGAAGTATTGATCTGTTTGCACCACATTACTATAGTACATGGTTTTGTATTTACATGCTACTGGAAACTGTAGTTCTGTGTTAAGTTTTCCAAAATATGGTAATGGGTAGTCTGTTTTGAGGCTGGGATCTTCTCTCAAAATTTGTATTTTTTCCCTTTTCTAATATTTGTTCTTTTTGGGTTATGCCCATATTACCCATTTTGTTCCACAAGACTGTGGATTTAGACTTTCTCTTTCTCCTTAGTCTTGGTTTTTCAATTTTCTGTTCCTCCTCTAACTCTACCTCTTCTGATAATCTCCCAAAATTCTATAAAAAAAAGATTAAATCAAGTTTGGAGATATCTTCATTGGAGAATTATATTAAAAAACAAATGATTCCAAGGGGATTAAGTGTCCGGAACATAACATCTTCTTATACTGAGAAAACTGAGCGAGTGGGAGTCTGCGGCGTGTGCATGTTCAAGACGCTTTATGGAAATTATAATTAAATATGAAAAAGAGAGATTGCTGGAAATTAATTCAAAATTATAGGAAGAGATTGACAAGGTTAAACGGTATCGAGCTGATCCAGAATTTATCCAATATGAGACCAAACTAAAGAATAATCTGGACAAATTCCAACACACTATAAAAATATGGAAACATCAGAAATGTGTAAGAGACTCTAAGGACTACCAAAGTGGCAATGTCTATAGGCATTTTACACGCAGAGTGAGAACAAATTCTGAAAACTATCTCACCTCAGACTATGAGTCCTCAGACACTGATAATGATGAATCAGCAAGACAGTCACAACCTCACCTCCACTCTCAGCCACAGACTCCCACTCCCTCCACACAGCATAACCCCAAAGGTATCATAAAGAAAGGTGTCAATTTTTTACAGGAAGGGATACCAATTTGCAAGAACTGGTATCCATCACAAGACAGGGGGTGCCAGAAGGGGAGAAAGAAAGGGGGGGGAGAGATTCTAGGTTCCAATCGGCATACAATAGTTGCTGCCAATTTGAGAATCATTAATCTCCTACATTTTTTTTCTAAGTCATGACCACCTTGCATTGCTTGAGAAAGGACTATCTTTTGTTCCCGTTCCACTTTTTGACAAATTCACATGGGTTAAAGACTTACATCTTTTAGTCGGAAGTTGGCACTTCATAAGTACAACCAAATAAACAAATAGAAAAAGGCAAGATCACATGAGATGTCCACTACTAAATATGAATGATGACTCTGATGGAATTATGGGAAGAAAATAATGAGGATTATTCCCCAAACTATACTGATCTCAAACCAAAAAGTCGGTTTACCCCTACCTAGGGAACTATAGAAATATTGACCTTTTCTTAGAAACGATGAAAAAGTAAATAGAAAAGATAAATATTAGAAGCTTAGATTTTTATACGAATAATAATCTATCTAAAAAGAACAGCAGGCTTTGAGATCCCTTAAAAATGACAACAACCTTATTATAAAGCCAGCACACAAGGGGGGCAATATTGTACTTATAAATTCAAGAAACTATATTGAAATGGTGGAGAGAGTATTGGGTGATGGGGACACTGATAGGGTCCTTAAATCGGATCCCACTAATGACTTTCTACAAAAATATAAAGAAATTCTTGGCAGGGGCCGCAGTGAAGGCTTGTTATCGGGTAACGAGTATGAATTCATTCTATATCATCACCCAAGGATAGCGACCTTTTACTGCCTGCCCAAAGTCCACAAAAGTCTTTCTTCACCTCCAGGTCGCCCCATTGTGCCAGGCATTGAAAACCTGACCCAAAATGTGAGCATCTACATAGATCAGATCCTCAGACCTTTTGTTGAGGGACTCCTGTCTCTGCTGCTCTATGTAGCCTGGATGTTGAGGCACTCAACTCTTCCATCCTGCACGAAAAGGGCATCCACACATTGGTTCTTTTCTGGAAAAAATGGGAGAACAACATCTCCCACACACAAGGTTCTCTCTTGAGCTCCTTGAGTATATCCTCACACACAATTATTTTATATTTTACAACAAGTTCTACGACTAGGTGAGAGGTACAAAATCTGACGTCTCAAAATACCTCCCTTTAATCTTCTTGTGGCGTAGGTATATAGATGACGTCCTAATTGTGTGGCGGGGTAGTCTTGAGGAGTCAATGATTTTGTTAAACTTTTGAATATTAATGAGTAGAATATAAGGTTTACAAGCTAGTTTTTTGGCCCATCTTTGAATTTCTTGGACTTGACAAGAACTATTACAGATCAGAATACCATCCATACTACACTTTTCAGGAAGCTGTCAGCCTCCAACAACCACTTAAGATGGAACAGCTCCCACCCCAAACTCCTAAGACAGGGCAATACCTTAGGATTAGATGGAAGTGTAGCACAATTGAGGAGTTTTATATCAAGGCTAGACAGCTAAGACAACAGTTTAAAGAGAAAGGATTCCCAAACAAAGTCTTAAAATGTGCCTATACGAGGGTGTTGGAGGCAGATCGGAGTACTCAACTAAAAGAGGCTGAATCTAAGAAATCTCCAAGAGGGTCCAACGAGACCATCACGGGTGACGGACACTTAAAAGAAGTACTCGCCCCTAATGTGACTATTACAGCACGTATTACTATTACTGGCACCCAGCCATTTTCAACGGAAACAATCATCGTTATCAACATGGCTTAGGAATCCTCCAGCTGGCTCATTTGGCTGTGGCAGATGTGTAGTCTGCAAATTGAAGGACTCAAAAACAGTCACAGACAGTAAGGGCAAAAAGGAGTTCAAAATAAAATCCTTTTTTAACTGCAATAGAGAAGGGTTAGTATATTTACTAATCTGCCAATGCAATCTAAAATATGTTGGTAAAACGTTTCATCCCTTTAAACAACAAATTCAGGAACATATTAGATCTCAAAAAAAAATCATCATTATCAACATGGCTTAGGAATCCTCCAGCTGGCTCATTTGGCTGTGGCAGATGTGTAGTCTGCAAATTGATCAAGAAGGACTCAAAAACAGTCACAGACAGTAAGGGCAAAAAGGAGTTTAAAATAAAATCCTTTTTTTAACTGCAATAGAGAAGGGTTAGTATATTTACTAATCTGTCAATGCAATCTAAAATATGTTGGTAAAACGTTTTGTCCCTTTAAACAACAAATTCAGGAACATATTAGATCTCCCATTTTGAGACATCATTAGGGATTGCAAGTCGCCATAACTAGGGGTTTATTTTTATTGGTATTGTTTTGTTTTCCCCTGAGGAATAAGCACGAATGGATGCTCTATATCTTGTACAGGATAATCCTTTGTGATTACATAAAACTATGGGTGGATCATTTGGACCCCCCCACATTGAAGGTTCACCTATTTTTAAACATACCATATTATCCCATTAGAATTTTTTCGATGGGATTTTAATCATGTGAGCAACTACATTTACGGGTCAATTTAGGTTTCAATCTCCCCTGTAGGGGTTAATTCTATTGGAAGCACATTCCAAAGTCTAAAAGGGATGTGTACTGCCCTACAGACCCTAACCACTCCCCCGATGACGTGCTGACGTATGATTAGCCGTATCACATCATCCAATGGGCGGCGCTAAAACCTTAAAATGACCAGCAAGCTCGATATGGTGGGATTATCCTTGAAAAAGGCATCTGTATCGCGCCGAAACGCGCGTTGCGCGCTACAGCAGAAAGGCAGCAGGAGATTAGAGAGGTCAATGCATGGCTGAAGTCTTGGGTTTTGGGGTTTTAGAGCACTGGGACGATTTTGGGCTTGGGTACAACCTGTATAGTCATGATGGATTGCACCTAAACAGAAGAGTTTCTGCTGTAATGGGGAATAAGATGGCTAGAAGGTTGGAGGAGATTTTAAACTTGTAGTGGGGGGTGAGGGTCAAAGCAATCTAGAAAATGATTGGAGAAAAAGGATCGGAGATCGGATAGAAAGGAGATGGGCTTTAACTCAGTATAAGGGGGGTGGAGATGGGGAGAGGGGAAAACAGAGGAAGTATGCAATACTGATGAAAATTCACAAAAAGTACAAAATGACTCGTGTTAATATTAAATCTATGCTTACTAATACAAGGAGCCTATATAACAAAGTGGGGGAACTAGAGGCAATAGCATGCACTAAACAATATGATATAATAGGCATAAGAGAAACATGGTGGGATGAGACACATGACTGGGCAGTTAACTTAAATGGGTAATCATTATTTCCTTATTAGGAAGGATAGGAGAAACAAGAAGTGTTGTGGGGTATGTTTGTATGTTAACCATGAGTTAAAGTCAAATCTTAGGCATGTGGAATGTGACAAGGAAAATGTGGAAGCTTTATGGTAGATATCTGCTTGGGGCAAAAAGAAAAATAATAGCTATCTAATGACAATTAGAAAAAAATGAGACATCAGTAATGGAACATAATAAAGCGTTTAATGAGGACAATGTAATAAATCTAAAATAACAAGAAATATGGAACAACACAAATAGGTGTGGAAAGAGGGTGGCGCTTTTTAGTGAAGAATAAAATTATTTGGTTTAGCTGCTAGTTACACTCAGTGGGTACTCCAAAAACCTCACTATAACATTTAAACACAGAAAAAAAACAAATTACTAAGAGTAGGTTGGTATAACTACCTTCCCAACTCTTAGTAAGAGTGCAGAGCTATAGCTGTTATTACAGAGTGATTAATGCAAAACATACACTTACCCCTCAGAATGTACAGGGGTATATATGTATATATGTAAAAGACAAAAACAGAGAAAACATACATAGAGTAGTATTGAATAACACCAAATTTTGCTAGATTACGTGAATAGAAATAAACTCCAGAGAAAGACAAGAGAAAGAAAGGGGAACTTGTGGGTGCAGATTTAACTGTAACAATAGTGAACAATAGTGAACAATATTTTATAGAAGAGATACGTGCTCACCTCTCTTAGAGCCTTTTCATAACTGGTTCTAAGTGTTTGTAGTATTGTGTCAATTTTAGGGTGACACTACCCTCTACTGGACCCAAGATGCAAAGTAGAGATGGAAGTAGGTATTTAAAAAATATTTATTTTGCACTGCTTTAAATCAACTAGATGAGTTTCTCCTGGGAAGTAATTATCTTTCTATATATATATTTTAAAATAAACATATGTATATTATGTGCTTTATAGTATATGCTGTTATTACATGTTGTGCCCAGGAGATGGCACTAGGAGTACATTTGAACAGTCTAGGGGTCTATTCACTAAACTCGTAATTTTAGTGCATTAAAATCCAAATTGTAAAATTTAGCTATTTTAGCCTAAGACCATTACAGTAACAGCTTGCACTAAAAAGAGTAATTAGGGGCACTTTATAATTGCATGCCTACAATATTTAGACTAGCAGTGTGATCTGTGAAGCTGTGTGTACACATCACACAGTACTAGTCTTAAAATGAATGTGAGCTGGTCCAAAAAAAAAAAATATTTTAAATAACAATAATTATTGGTGGATCTTTTACAAGCTGTCCCTGTACTCACTTTGCTAATCTGGGATTAGGAGTCTCTTATCAGCCCCTGTTGTTTTCTATAGTGTAATTTGTACCTTGTTCCATGGGCAGATAATGGGATTGGAAGGGAGCCTCGCCCTTCAGTCTGAGGTCTCAACACATAATGGGGAGGAGGAAAGCCCTCAGCAGCCACAAGCCAGCACAGTCATACTAAGAATGGGTGGTGGAGAGAGAGCCTCAAAGAATCCTGTGATAAAACTATTCCTGTTTTATGTGTAGAAGAGATCCTATGATTATTAGACACTCTGTGTATGGGAGAGCTAGCTGGCTGGCTAAGCCTGATAGGAGTTATACGAACTTAATGATCAAACTCTTCCATGCATAGAGTGCAAAGAAAGATAGAATAGAGATGTGGAAGGAGTAATAAAGAAAGATGTTTAAAGAGACAGATACACAACCCTAAAACAAACCATATTAGTAGCTTTTCCAATGCCAAAAGATGTTTTAATTTTATTTATAGGTGATTGAATTGTACAATTGTGGTTAACAAAGGAAGTGTTTTGCTTAAAGGAACACTATCTGGTCAGGAACAGAAAGTGAATATAAATCCACCAAAACAATAGAGACAGATAAAATAAACTATACCGGTCCTTAGACCAGTAGGTAAATAAAAGGATAATAGGAGCATCAGAACAAGCCAAGGTCAAATGAAGACAAAATATCACAGAAACGAAAGCAAAAGACGGGTCAAGAGAGCCAGAGAAACAGAATAGTCAGGACAAACCCGGGTCAATACCAAAAAGACAATAAACAGGCAAAGTAACACACTCTATAGGGATACTAGGAACCACAAGAGAGCACTGTGCCTTGGTCTGAATAAACTTTTAAACATTTGGGGGGGTGTTTGGTGTAACCATGCCCTCAAATCGTGAGAATATGTTGGCTTCTAGTGTGTACCCCTCTGATGTCATGATGCCGTCTTGCATGCACTGCATCATAAAAAGGTGCATGAGCACAGCGGCAGGCGTCCAGGAGGCTGTCAGGATGAACAGTAGGCTCAGAAGCGATGATTGGAGTAACAGCTGATCAGCCCCCAGCCCCAGTGCCCCCCTCTACAAATTCCAGCACCCCCCTCTAGCTGACAAGCAGACTCCACTCACATTGCTGCTGCCAGTATGCGACTCCGGAGTCCGGCCTCTGGTATACCCCAAATGGTGCTGTCCGCACACTGTGCCAAAGCGGATCCTCCTGCTACTTCTTGAAAGTTGATGTCATGTTGGAATGTGACGTTGCATTGCGTGCCTCTGTGCACTTCCTGGTACTCCACTGTCCAGCAGCGGCCATTGCAACACTCACAGACACACAAACACTCACTGACACACAAACACTCACTGACACACATACACACTGACAGACACACTCACTGACAGACACACAGACACACACACACACTCACTGACACACACACACACACACACTGACAGACACACTCACTGACAGACACACAGATAGGCACACACACACACTCACTGACATACAGACACACTCACTGATAGACACACAGACAGACACACTCACTGACAGGCACACACACACTCACTGACAGACAGACACACACACTCACTGACAAACAGACACACACACACACACACACTCACTGACACTCACAGACACACACACTCACTCACTGACAGACAACACTAAGCATGTACTCGAGGCTCCATGGGTTGCAAAGATGTTCATTGTGGGCCACGAGTTTGACATGCTTGATCTAAGCCAATCACAATGCTTTCCCATAGGAACCAACTCCGCCCTAGCCAATCAGCATCTCTTCATAGAGATGCATTGAATCAGTGCATCTATTTGTTCAAAGTCCAGTGCCTCCGTGCAGGGCTTGGAGAGACTGAACATCATTGCTGCGCATTGTGCAGCACTAACCTAGGAGGAACCTGAATATCACATAAAACATGCAACATTTATAGATGCATTGATAGAAATAATTGGGGAAAAAAGAAACAGAGAAAAAAAAGACTAACTTGTAAATTACACAATTTTCACATACCTGAACTAACTTATTTTTAAAATATTAAACAGTGCATACTTCATGAAATAAAGTAAAGCATGGGAAATATTTTATGTTATAAAAGTGATAAAGTTGCCTTTTTATTCATCTATTGCTGACAAAATGTTATTTTTTTTACAGAGCAAATCAAAAGAACACAGAAAATGATAAATGTATAAATGGAGGTAAATAAGATATTTTTTATGTACTAATTATTTAACCTTTAAGAACCAATTACAATCTAAGCTTTCATTCTACTATAGTTACATGTGATTCTATGCTAAAATACTATGCTAAAATTGAATGACCATGAGTTTTTCCATTGGGAACTCTGTAATTGTAATAAAGTAGAACATTTGACTCCCCATTATGGTCTCTAAGAATTAACTCCACATGTCATTAACAAAAACATGCAAGGTAAAAAAACAACATTGCCCATATGTTAAATGATATACAGACACTTATCTTTTATAAAATATTTTTTATATAATTGATGACAGCTAATATAAATTAAAAAAATGTCACTGACATGCACAATTGGATAAATAATACCATATTTAATAAGCATCAGTGTTACTTACTAAACTAGTGTCTGCACTAAATAAAAAACTGGTACATTGACAATCATGTAAAAATGTTAAAACTAGGAAAAAAATTAGAGATGGGGAAAAATAAATAACTTATAAATGTTTAGGGAGAGATGAGAAAGATCAAAGACTCTTGTCACGGGAGTTGTACCCCAACACGCAGGAAAGAGCAAAACCACAAAAGGTGGATCTTAAAGACATATTACCGAGCCTTAGAATGGCCGGACTTAATGTATTAATACAACAAGAAACAGGGTGAGGATAAATAAAGGACAGGAATAACAGAAATACTCAAGTCAACTCGAGTCAAGACGAAGCCGGGGTCAGGATACCAGAAATCACGAGTCAAATATGAAGCCGAGGTCAAACACAGGAAATCACAAGGGAATCACTAGGAGCACTAAACAAAAACCACGATAGAGCAAAGAATCGAGGCTAAAAAAACAATAAATAGACTCTAAAGAGTTCCCATTGGTCCATGTCATCTCTGCAAAACCAAACAGCATTGAGTTGCCTACATGACGTGATCCCTTCAAGATAATGATGTCATGGCTTTATATTTAATTTCTATGGGTTGCAGTTCGTCCTGCGAACCAGCACCCTGTGCCAGAGCTGTTCCTCCAGCTACTCATTAAAACCCCGTGAGGATGGAGCATGTCGACGTCATGTTGGAACATGTGGTGGCATGTTTCTGTGCGGCTCTAGGTCCTCCACTGTCTAACTGCATCCATCACAACACTGATAACACCTCCCTAATGCATGGCACCACCCTAATGCTTGGCACCCAGTGCAAACTGCCGCCCTGTTAGTAATTAGTTTTTGATGGGCTGCAAAGATACTCATTGTGGGCCGCGAGCTTGACATGCTTGTACTACTACATAAAGGTGTCATAACCTATTAGAGATTTGTCAAAATGCTAGAGGACAACCCTTCCAATTGTCCTGCAATGGAAATACAAATTTTGCCCTGGATTTTTATATTTTTGAGTAAGCTTTTCAGATTATTTTGTATTTTTGGATACAAATTTTAAATTATTTTTTCAAAATCTTAAAATATAAAAAAAAATATGAAAATAAAAAAAACAAAGTTAAAATATTTTTTATAATATTAAATCATTTGAAAAGTTTATCCAAAAATGTTAAATTGATACTGGTGTTGTGCTATTTTCAAGTAGAGTAAAGAAAGCTGGTACTTCTTAGAGGCGTTGCTATGTAGAATAAAGTATGGGTCTAGGGCACATTGGCATGAACAGGGCACTATAATAACATTACATAATAGAGCAATAATATTAATTCACCGTAGCTGGAATAGTATATATTTTACCAAATCCATATACCCTCTGAATAATTTATTCTTCATATGAATGTTACTAGTAATAAAACAAATTGATCTGAGCATTTGATAGCAAGTTTGTTGGAACATGGCACAACTAATTTTAAATTTCCTTGTCCTATTTGACTATGAGCAAACCTCCTTTACCAGTCGTTTTTCTGAAATCACACCTTCATTGTATACTATACAAATGGTGTGTACCTGTCTTGAACTTTGTCTCCCTCTGTCGTTGCAACGTTTAAACCACCTTAACTAAGTCCACGTCCCCCATCTTTACTGGAACATTGGTTCTCCCCTGACTCTTTATTTTGTATTATTGTAACTGAGATTGTATCCCATGTTATAAAAATAAAAGCATTTCTATGTTCATTTTTAATTCAATGTAATATTCAAGTTATTTTAATAACAATTCATTGTATCATTGTACCGGCCTGCAGACCACACACAGCTTGATCCACCGAGGTCCACCAAGGGATCGCGGAGTTTACCCGCCGGTGGGCCTTTCTCAAGACCCCCCCCTCCCTCTCGATAGGAGCCGGTTCACTGCATAGGTGGATCCGGCTCATAGGGGCATGGAGGTTCACACCGGCCTTGTCATGATCATCCTCCCCCCCATCTATTGGGGACATGGAGGCATGGCACAAACAGCCCAACAGGCCCCCCTCACCTCCCCAACAACCGGGGCACTAAAGGGGTTAATCACCCATCCAAAGTACTCTCTCTCAGGGTCGGCAGCTCCCTCCAAAGGCGCAGGTCTGCTGTCGGCCAGCAAGCACGATCAAGTACAGCATTGCAACCGCAACGCAGGCTGTACACTCAAACGTCAGTTAAACACACATCACGCACAGTCATTCAAAGTGGAATTAACAATATGTGGCTGGTTTATTAAAAAATGAATAGTAAATATGTGGCTGGTTCATAAATAAGAATAATATGTGGCTGATTTCATATAGGGTATACAGGTATTATACAGGTATGTCATATATATATATATATATATATATATAGTTCAAGATGGTGCAAAGCACAACGCCACCTGGTGGGCATGCTGCACTTAGCCTACAAGTAACATCATACCATATTTAAATGTCAATTGTAGCCTATTTTTGCTTAGAACTGGTATGTGCATTGGGTATCAAGCACTAGTTTTCAAGTCTTACATGGGAAACTCGGTATTTGTCATTTGATCTCTGGATCTGCTTACAGGATTCAGAGACCTAGACAAAGTCAAGCGTATTGTGTTTCCTTCCATTGGTACGTGCACACTATGTTACAAATCATACGTTTCGTTACTCAGATACATACGGCACCAAGTACACAAACACATAAAGGTACGCTGGGTACAAACGGTACCGAGCAGACATTTACTATATTACCAAGGTAATAGGAGTAGGTGATGTGTAGAGTCCCACAAGGGGAAGCCAACATCAGGACAGTTCCACTGAATAAGAAATGAGGAAGGGATGCCCTACATTTAATCAATCTAAGGATAAAAAGGGATATGCAAACAAAATTATAACTTGAAAAAAAGGGAGATCTACTAAACAGTGCCCAGTGGATCAATTGTCTGGAGTACTAGCTAGCATCTTTTTCTTTAATCTCTGCACTTGGTAGCACTTTTTTATTTTTGTTACCACCATGGGTATTGATTTTTAGGTGTTTATTTGTTTATTTATAACTTTAGTAGGGAGAGTTGGTTCTGGTAGACACTAGTGTCGAGGTAACTTTTAGGGTGAATTGAGAGATTTATTTAATTATTTATTTTGTGTGTGAGGCTTTTCATCTGCGTTTAGACCTGACTACCTGGTCCCTTGTTCTCTGGGGACCCTGTGCCTTTTCTCTCTCCCTAACCTTGTTTACGCTACCTTCCTGTCAGTCGGACACTAGGGGAACTGGAACTTAGATGCTAGCTAGTTCATACCTTAAACACTGTTTTAATATAAAGATTCATTCCATAGAGACGAGTGGGTATGGCCACCGAGGTATTTCTCCCAGGCACCTTATGCCTTAGAGATAGAGCTCCTGCAAGGCCAACATCCATCCTCCACGAAAGAGGTAATAACGCCTATGGGCCAAATCATAGCTAGACGCCTAGGGATTCACTCATCACACCCCCTCCACAGATCTAAGACTCATTCCTCGTAAGCCCACATCCAGCAGATCACCCCCTCGTGCCAACCATAGATAGAGCCGACCCAGCCACTTGGCAACTAGTAGGGACTCACCTGTCATGTCACAAGGAGGTGACATTTATATTCCAAATACTCCAACTAGGACTGCCACCCCTACACAAAAAAAGGAGATTCCGGCAGTCCATCTTTAATTAAATTGTGGACCATCACATCACGGCCGAATTACGCAGGGTTACATACCCTTTACACCTACTGCCCGCAAAGCATAACTATTAAGGATAATGCAAGCCAATACTAACAAATCAGACACGGGGGAAAGCACAAGTGGCACGAGCAATGCCTGTATACCAGGATCGCCTCTATAGTAACATCCATGAGGCACATGACCGATAGACTAGAGAGACTGGAAGCCCGTAGCTGTCCAGTCGTGACAACAGTAACCACTCACAACTGATTTTCCGGGCCCTCCCCATTCCCAATCCGGTAATTCTAACACACCCATCATCTTAGGGCCTCAAGTCATTACCCCAACCATGTGGTACCAGCAAACCTCAAGAAGGAGATCCTGGAGGGCAAGGACGTTATCTCGTCTCACGTCTCATTGCCGCCCAGGATGTCACAGAGTACCGCTCATACACCTAGGGCGATATCTCAGTGGTCCTTAAGGCCAAAGACACAAGACTGAGGAAAAAAAAATTATTCATCAGTATAGTTATAACCTTCCTTGTCTTGTGTCAGTACAGACACTACTGCATTCCACAGGTCTTAGCCTATATTCCTGGCGATTGTGTCCTGTACGTCTACCCTCGGGTCAATTGAACTCAGCAGGTATATAGTATATTTAGTCATGGTATTTCAGCACCTCTATCATGTTCCCCGGGTAGACCTTACAATGATCACGCTGAAAGTTGCTGTACGATATCAGTATGACCATATTTCATTATAGTTACGCTGTCATAACCAGTAACTTTCAACTGATCTGCAACTTAAAATAAACCACCAACCCCACTCTATTAAATTCCACTTACATTACCTCCCAGTACCACAGGAACTACATTGGGCCGCTCTCAACCTCTTAGGCATTGTCCTCACAAAAGCCATCTATGGACCTTTGCAACATAATTCAGGTAACCTTAGTGGACAAATACGTCTTATTGGCAACCCCTCATTTGGGCACTAAGTTCACATATCAGCTGGATAGGAATGTATGCGTAAAGTGCAGCTATCTCACAGCTTTCTACCGTAAATAAACCACGCCTTATAGTATTATACTTCTGCTATATCTTGCACTGTCCACATAAGGCCACACAGTAGCTCTCCTCACTACCCTACCTACACAACATACTCCTGGCCAAATGCACAGAATGTAATAATTCCCTCATAACAGACGTTCTCCTTACCTCTCATTGTACTACTTCAGTCTAGCAAATTGTCAATTTACGATGCCCGCAACATGCTACATACATTATGATAGATACTGAAGTTATCATGTGGGTCATTTAAGTTTCCCAGGGTCGACCTTAATAGCCAGCCGCTGTTGGGCTTACATAGTCAATTCCATACTGGACTATTCCCACATCACCACTGCGTATTAGACCAGTTCAGATACATCCTGTTATACTGTCCCGCTTTCCTGGCTATTTGACTGCTCGGGCAACCATGGTACAAATGACCACATTAGCCATGCACGTGCAATGCCTATTGTACAGCCTTACCCAGCATCTAGGCTGTTAAGTAATTCCAGTTTACAGGGGCAACCATGACCTTATCATACCATGGCCAATTGTATTCACAACCACACTCTCTTGATACGTTACATATGACCCACCAAAGGGCTATTCACTATAGCATAATGGCAGCCCCTCATTTGGGCTATTACATACGGCATAGGAATTACAATTTTGACATAAGTTTGCAATTTTGTCACAACCTACCACGGCATGTCTCTACATGTGGCCCTTACTAGGCCATCACTCTCACGTTACATATGACCCACTGTGAGCAATCCACTATGACTCAATTCTGGCCAACAGGGGGACAATTACATACGACCAAGGTCACGTTAGACCACTCAAATCCTCCCTATACGACCCTTTCTGGGCATTTACAACTCCAGTCACAGACACTTACGTGATCTGCAAAATTAGTTCCCGCTGGTAAACTAGAAATGTTCCACATACTTCATACATATTGCAGGTTCTTCTAGCGGAAGGACACCCAGCGGGAACTCACCTAGGCACAATTATGGCAAAGAAAGAGGAATTATAAATGAGAGAGAATTCAAATATATAGGGGTGAGATTCCCAAGAATTCCGGTATTTTATCACCTACCTAAAATACATAAAAAATTACAGAATCCGCTTGGAAGACCCATTATTTCTGGGATTGGATCCCTTACAGCCAATCTGTCAGAATATGTCGACCAGTATCTGCAGAGTCTAGTTGTTTGCCTGAAATCGTACCTGAAAGATTCCACTCAGATCATTAATCTACTTTCAGATTTCAAATGGGAAAAAGATATGATCCTAGTTATTTTACATCGTTGTATACCGTTATCGAACATCTGCAAGGCTGTGAAGCCATTCAATATTCTCTGGCAACATATTCCGAATTAAAGAATGATCAAATAGATTTCTTAGTGTCATGCATAGCATTTATCCTGACACACAACTACTTCTGGACCGAGGGTAACTACTATTTACAAACAGAAGGCACCGCCATGTGGACACGTTTTGCGCCAAGTTATGCCAATCTTTTTATGGGCAAATGGGAGGACGAGTTTATATGGGACCATTGCCCTTTTGGCGCAAAACTGTCCCTATGGCGGAGGTACATCGATGACTGCTTCTTCATATGGAAAGGGGACCTTGAATCTTTGGAAGAATTTAAAATTTATTTGAATAATAATCCATACCATCTCAACTTCACCTTTGCCCAATCTAGAGAATATGTGGAGTTCCTTGATCTCAACATATACATAGAGGAAGAGAAATTACAAACTAAGACCTTTAAAAAGAATGTTGATTGCAACAGTTTCATTCCTTACAATAGCCATCACAGACCCATATGGCTAAAAAATATTCCTCAAAATCAATTTAGAAGAATCAGACGTAATTGTTCAAAACTGGAAACGTGCAGAGAACAGATGGAGGAGATGAAAGAAAGATTCATTACGAAAGGATACCCTACAGACCTATTGGGAGAAGCTGTGGAGAAAACTCTTAATATACCACGAGAAGAAACATTGTGTAATAAGATCAAGCTAGATAAACCACACAACAATACCCCAGCCTTCATTATGAAGTATAGTAATCAGTCACAGATGATACAAAGAATACTTAGAAAACATTGGGGCATATTGAAAAGTGATCCCACTATATCACAATTCATGGAGGATAAGCCAAAAATGATATTCACGAGAACTCCTAATATCAAGCTGATGCTGGCTCCTACTATCAAATCCGTAAACACAAAGAGAATATTAGGAAACCAAAAATGCTTTACGAGATGCCAGAAATGTATTGGATGTAGGAATAATCCTAAAGCAGGAATAAAGAATACTGGATTCATCTCATCCAATGATCAGAAAGAATACAAAATTAGGACAGACATGAACTGTGACACTTTAGGAGTGATATACCTTATCACATGTCCATGCCAAAAACATTATGTGTGACGGACTAAAAGACCTCTAAAAACTAGGATTGCGGAGCATATCCGAAATATTAAGAAAGGCTTATTAACTCATAATTTATCAAAACATTTTAAGGAGATACATAACGCAGATCCAACAGGTTTGACCTTTATGGCAATAGAAAAAGTGAATGTACACTGGAGAGGAGGTAGCATAGACATCAGCCTGGATCAGGCCGAAACAAAATGGATATTTTCCCTTAATACTTTAGCTCCTTACGGTCTGAATATAGATTTCGAATTAAATGCATTTTTATGAGATTTTTAGGACTATTTTTAATCCAATACTCTCTTATATTTTTATATGATCTCCATTTTTAGTAAACAGTCATTAATTTTTGCAATTTTTATATTTATATTTGGTTATCCATTCCTCTTAACACTACAAATATTAATTCTCTAATTGACAGTAGAGCTTGTATAGTGCAATATACTTGTTTTATCTTCTTTTGCTCTACTCTCTTTTTATTTTTTATTATTTTTTTTATTTATTATTTATTATTTATTATTTTTTATTTTTATATTTTTATATTTATTATTTTTATTATTATTATTTTTATTTTTATCTTTATTTTTATTTTAATTTTTTTTATTTTTATTTTCCCTATTTTGTATTCTTTATTCAGTTTTATTCATTTTTATTTATTTATTTTAATGTTTTTTCGATTATGGATTTTTATATAAGAGTTTTTATAGAAGTGCTTTCACATACTTTTTGATCTACATTTTCTCATCTCTGATCTATGTGCTATATCTTTGATCTATGTTTTTATCCATACTTTGGTATTATAATATATATGTTTACTTCTATTTATGTTCCCTTTCTTATGCTCCCTTACTAAATATATTTGCCCTTTTAGAACACATAATCCGTACAAAATGTAGGATCCACATTTTTATCTGGTGCTCACTATAACTAATACTGTTTAAAAACAGTTTTAAATAGTTTATGATATGGTCTGATCTGTTCACTAATACCTCTGTCTCGTTACAGGACTGAATTAAAGTAAATGAAGTTACTCTTGTTATTTTCCCAATATAAGTGATTAAACATCTAGGGATAGATGGCAGCCCCTCATTTGGGCTATTACATACGGCATAGGAATTACAATTTTGACATAAGTTTGCAATTTTGTCACAACCTACCACGGCATGCCTCTACATGTGGCCCTTACTAGGCCATCACTCTCACGTTACATATGACCCACTGTGAGCAATCCACTATGACTCAATTCTGGCCAACAGGGGGACAATTACATACGACCAAGGTCACGTTAGACCACTCAAATCCTCCCTATACGACCCTTTCTGGGCATTTACAACTCCAGTCACAGACACTTACGTGATCTGCAAAATTAGTTCCCGCTGGTAAACTAGAAATGTTCCACATACTTCATACATATTGCAGGTTCTTCTAGCGGAAGGACACCCAGCGGGAACTCACCTAGGCACAATTATGGCAAAGAAAGAGGAATTATAAATGAGAGAGAATTCAAATATATAGGGGTGAGATTCCCAAGAATTCCGGTATTTTATCACCTACCTAAAATACATAAAAAATTACAGAATCCGCTTGGAAGACCCATTATTTCTGGGATTGGATCCCTTACAGCCAATCTGTCAGAATATGTCGACCAGTATCTGCAGAGTCTAGTTGTTTGCCTGAAATCGTACCTGAAAGATTCCACTCAGATCATTAATCTACTTTCAGATTTCAAATGGGAAAAAGATATGATCCTAGTTATTTTACATCGTTGTATACCGTTATCGAACATCTGCAAGGCTGTGAAGCCATTCAATATTCTCTGGCAACATATTCCGAATTAAAGAATGATCAAATAGATTTCTTAGTGTCATGCATAGCATTTATCCTGACACACAACTACTTCTGGACCGAGGGTAACTACTATTTACAAACAGAAGGCACCGCCATGTGGACACGTTTTGCGCCAAGTTAGCCATTCTTTTTACGGGCAAATGGGAGGACGAGTTTATATGGGACCATTGCCCTTTTGGCGCAAAACTGTCCCTATGGCGGAGGTACATCGATGACTGCTTCTTCATATGGAAAGGGGACCTTGAATCTTTGGAAGAATTTAAAATTTATTTGAATAATAATCCATACCATCTCAACTTCACCTTTGCCCAATCTAGAGAATATGTGGAGTTCCTTGATCTCAACATATACATAGAGGAAGAGAAATTACAAACTAAGACCTTTAAAAAGAATGTTGATTGCAACAGTTTCATTCCTTACAATAGCCATCACAGACCCATATGGCTAAAAAATATTCCTCAAAATCAATTTAGAAGAATCAGACGTAATTGTTCAAAACTGGAAACGTGCAGAGAACAGATGGAGGAGATGAAAGAAAGATTCATTACGAAAGGATACCCTACAGACCTATTGGGAGAAACTGTGGAGAAAACTCTTAATATACCACGAGAAGAAACATTGTGTAATAAGATCAAGCTAGATAAACCACACAACAATACCCCAGCCTTCATTATGAAGTATAGTAATCAGTCACAGATGATACAAAGAATACTTAGAAAACATTGGGGCATATTGAAAAGTGATCCCACTATATCACAATTCATGGAGGATAAGCCAAAAATGATATTCACGAGAACTCCTAATATCAAGCTGATGCTGGCTCCTACTATCAAATCCGTAAACACAAAGAGAATATTAGGAAACCAAAAATGCTTTACGAGATGCCAGAAATGTATTGGATGTAGGAATAATCCTAAAGCAGGAATAAAGAATACTGGATTCATCTCATCCAATGATCAGAAAGAATACAAAATTAGGACAGACATGAACTGTGACACTTTAGGAGTGATATACCTTATCACATGTCCATGCCAAAAACATTATGTGTGACGGACTAAAAGACCTCTAAAAACTAGGATTGCGGAGCATATCCGAAATATTAAGAAAGGCTTATTAACTCATAATTTATCAAAACATTTTAAGGAGATACATAACGCAGATCCAACAGGTTTGACCTTTATGGCAATAGAAAAAGTGAATGTACACTGGAGAGGAGGTAGCATAGACATCAGCCTGGATCAGGCCGAAACAAAATGGATATTTTCCCTTAATACTTTAGCTCCTTACGGTCTGAATATAGATTTCGAATTAAATGCATTTTTATGAGATTTTTAGGACTATTTTTAATCCAATACTCTCTTATATTTTTATATGATCTCCATTTTTAGTAAACAGTCATTAATTTTTGCAATTTTTATATTTATATTTGGTTATCCATTCCTCTTAACACTACAAATATTAATTCTCTAATTGACAGTAGAGCTTGTATAGTGCAATATACTTGTTTTATCTTCTTTTGCTCTACTCTCTTTTTATTTTTTATTATTTTTTTATTTATTATTTATTATTTATTATTTTTTATTTTTATATTTTTATATTTATTATTTTTATTATTATTATTTTTATTTTTATCTTTATTTTTATTTTAATTTTTTTTATTTTTATTTTCCCTATTTTGTATTCTTTATTCAGTTTTATTCATTTTTATTTATTTATTTTAATGTTTTTTCGATTATGGATTTTTATATAAGAGTTTTTATAGAAGTGCTTTCACATACTTTTTGATCTACATTTTCTCATCTCTGATCTATGTGCTATATCTCTGATCTATGTTTTTATCCATACTTTGGTATTATAATATATATGTTTACTTCTATTTATGTTCCCTTTCTTATGCTCCCTTACTAAATATATTTGCCCTTTTAGAACACATAATCCGTACAAAATGTAGGATCCACATTTTTATCTGGTGCTCACTATAACTAATACTGTTTAAAAACAGTTTTAAATAGTTTATGATATGGTCTGATCTGTTCACTAATACCTCTGTCTCGTTACAGGACTGAATTAAAGTAAATGAAGTTACTCTTGTTATTTTCCCAATATAAGTGATTAAACATCTAGGGAACGAAAGCTCTCGTATATAATGTCTGTAACAGTCAAATTGTATACAAATGTTACTTTGTTCTTCGAATGTGATAGGGATACAATGTTTAGACTATCCTGAACTGTGTGCGATATTTTTCAGGAGGTGACTGAAAAGAATATATGAAATAACAATAATAGTTCTATCGAAATTGAATTAAGAAGTAATGAATTAATGAAACCTGACTAGGACTAAACTTTAGTGTTGCAATTAGTTATATAAAGAGTCCAAACAAAACCCATGCTACTTGTTGTTATTACTACTAACCAATATCAATTTTATGTAATGTTTACTGTATTAATAGTTCAGAATGATATTTGATGAATATGAATTTTATTTACGCGTATATACATTTATTTCCATCTTTATGTGACATATACAATTCAACTCTAATCACTGTAATATATTTAGAAAGTGACCAAATGTATTGCAATGTATTTATTAATTAATCAATTATCACCGGAGAGGTTTATAAGCACTCCCATAGGGAGTTGAATCCAGATGTCTCTGAGGAAGTAGGGCTATTCCCTACGAAACGCGTCAGACAAGTTCAAGAACGTTCACACAGCAATAGAAGGAAGAGGTTCTAGCACAACAGTCCGGCGATCAGCTTGAAGCACAGTCTTCTCAACGGCACGATCTGATGAGCAGTGCAATTCCCCCCGAAGTGAGGCTCGAGGTGGAACGCACTGTGACAAGCAAACCGGCCTCATCGGCTACCAGCATTCAGATACTGTATCAGAAATAACCATCCAGATCCATCCGTACCGGCATCTAAGGTTTTTGTGCAATATTTACCTTTTACCATCTATTGCTTCATATGTGAACTTATTTTTATTATTAGTTTAGCATATTTTTGTATTTTTCAATAAAATTGACCTTGTTTTTTGTAGCTACTCTCCAGCTATATACTTTTTTCACATTGCTTTTTTCAGCAGCCAGTTCTATATACTGGTGTTTGCTTAACATAATTTATTATAATGTGCATGATGGCAGTTTATATATCCTGAGAGGATTATGCCAATTTATCTTTCAAGCCTATATTGTGTATGGAAGTAAAGTATTAGGCAGTGGTTATCTTTATCCAGAGGTTCTGTCATTCTGGATTGATAACCTTGCCATACATTTTATTTATCTATTCTGGTATCATATATATTTTTTTGATGCTTATTTAGAAGCTCCTGGATTCCTGTTGCTGCTTTTTTAGTGGAATACACTTTTAACATTGTTTTAATAGGTTTTTGGTGGATCCCTATTTCTATCTGGTTTAAGAGCTTTGCATGTTAGGTCTTTTTTTCCCTCTATTTCTCTGTATATATTTTTTTACATGAGAATCACCTTTACTTACAATATATTTAGGTGTCTCTTCCCTATACATATATATGTCTTTACATATGTAGTCATCCCGATGCAGCAGCTCACACAGGGCTTGCTGCAATCTCAGGGGACAGTTGGCTATGGGTAGGTGGCCGGGAAAGTAAGTAAGATCGAAGGGTTCCTTAAGAACCCAGCACGCTTCAAGGTATATCCATCATAGCCGCAGCAGCAACATGGGGTCATTCATGGGCAAGCAGACCGGCTCAAGGTCTCTGACAATTTGTCAATTGGCCATGTCATAAACAAGTCCGGTCTTGTATCCCTTATTATGAATTCATCAGACGACTAACGTAGGGGAAGCCTGTCACCAAATTTTTTATCTGGTATATTACCACATACCAGACATTTACAATACAGCTGCTGACCAGTTATCTAGTCATCAGTTTCAGGCGTTCAGGAGGTCCCTAACAACTGCCTCACCGATAGCCACGATCGCTCCCCAGCTCCAAGAAATACCTATGGAATAGAAGAGTGACTAAGTCACAGCAGGAATTCACACAGTTGGCCCTGAAGAATATGCACACTGCTATGATAGAGCTTACTGCATATACCGAAGTTCATGTCAGATCACCACCTTACAAACTGGTTCAAGAATACAACATTGGGGGCTTTTGCCACTTTTTTGCCACATCAAAAACAATGCCCCACAACAATATTAAGTTATATCTCCCGGGCATTCAACACCACATATTCTCAGTTACAAACACCATTCTCAAACCGCCATATACTTGGCTTTTATGGTTTCCTACGACCCAGAGAATTTACCATCACAGGGCAACATGATTCCAAGCTTTGCCTACGGTATTCTAACCTGTACAGGATCAATACGTATTAAAATTACTATCAACTAAGACCAGCCAGAGGGGTCATGAGGTACTTATTCAGTACTACCCCACCAACAACGCATACCTCAGCCGACACAGGAATTAAAGAATGCATTTGTGAAAGGTCATCGTTAAATGCTAACTCCATGTCTTGTGTTTTCGTAATAATATCTTTGATAAATACTATATGGGTATTCCTTTTTGCCCACTTATTTACAGGCCTACCACACACGTCGGTTTCGGCAAACCTCTACCGACTTTTTATTATTGTTGATAAGTATACTCACTAGCTATTTCATACTATACTGAAATGGCCCCGAACACAACTAACATTTATATCTTCTTATAGGTGCATTATTAGATCATAATTTCTCCTAAAATGATCGCATAGACGAAATTCATCTGAACTGAAACATCATATGTTTGTCAGTTCTTTAGGATGAATCGATTCGGAAGAACCGAATATGCAGTGCATAAGTCTAATATATAACATATTTTTAGCTTGTGGCGAAACCAGCCTCGCCACTGTCCACTGGAGGAGCCTGGTTGCTCGCCTGCTCCCTTTAGACTATGGCCCAGCAGTTAAAACCTTTTATTTTCCCTGCAGAAAAGCGTATTCGTGCCTTTTTGCAGACTGTTAAAGCCATGCTACTCCAGATAGCTATGCCATGGAGCCCAGCCATTTACTGAAAGACTGTATGAAAGACTTTGGCTCCATGGCGATTGAACTGTATGTACGTGATCTGAGTGCCATCCGGTAATAATGTGTGCTCAGATCTAAGCTATCTGGGGATAGGTAGAATGTGTATGATCTATGTGATAAATGTAACAGTATGTAATTTTATGTCTTTTATTGTCCTTTGTCTGCCATGTGGCTAATGGAGTTTTGCCTCTGTCCTTGGAGATAATTTGATTACTTCCCAATTATCTCCATGACAGAGAGGAGGGATTGTGATGCATTGTGGGAGTGTTTAAAGGTGTATGTCTGTGATTGGTCAATGTCCAATGTTTCCCAGTTTCCCATCTTGTCCCTTAGGGGAGTGTCCACCAGGTGCGAGACCTGCATAAAAGCCGGGCAGGTAGCCCCAGTAAATCAGTTCCTGCTTGACCCTCAAAACGAAGTGTCATCTCGTTATTGGGGGAATTGGATTGTATGCTGATTGCCAGGAGTGTAAGCTGATTGTATGCTTTTCCTGTTCGGCTGTTTCCAGTATTCGTGTGTTTCCTGTTCGGGAGTTGGTGAATTCGTGTAGTTTGCGGTTAGGGAGATTGGTGCTTACAGTAGCTGTCGGTGCATCTGGAAAGGGGAATATTGCCTAAATAGTTATTAACCTCTTATGTGTAAAACCTCTTACATAGCTTTTCAGTATGTGTTTCTCTTTATTTCCAGGAGGCACTTGTATTGGCTATGGAGATCCTCATTACTTTACGTTTGATAACTATCCTCATACCTTCATGGGAAACTGCACATACACCCTCACAAAGCTGTGCGAACAGAACAGCACTCTGACATATTTCAATGTGGAAGTTGCACATGAGTACAGGGGGGAGAACACCCTTGTATCTTATGTCAAGCAAGTAACAGTATATGTTCATAATTATGCTATAAGCCTGGAAAAGGATAGGCTTGTAAAGGTAAGCAGAAAAAAAAAGAAACAATGGAAATTTAATATTAATAGCTTAAAACAGCAAGACGGCTCACGTGTTTAAATATTTTGTCCATTCTCACCAATACCGATTTATTTCCAATCCCAACTCCAGAGAAGAGAAATTAAAAGGGACACTATAAAATTGGTGTACTGAAACATTTATAAGCAATCATTCATCATACTTTTTTATTATATAATTATATATAACAAATTATCTAATCATTCACATACTGCAAAATAATATTAGAACACATACAAAAATGTCTATATGGCAATAATACAATGACACATAAAAAAAAAACATTACCCAGTATTCCAGTAAATAAAACTTCTCTGTGTGCTGGTGTCAGTTAGTACAATATCTCACTCGTTCTGTAGTTCATCCTGAGTTTGTATAGTCCAACCACAGACTGCAAAGCTCAACAGACAATGTTTTTAAATGTTATTCATATTATATTATGTTTCATGTATGAATAGTTGATGTAAAGTGAAAGCCCTGTTTCTCTTGAACAAAATGATCTATAATATGTGTAAGTGCACTTAATATAAAAAAGAGATTTATTATTATTAACAGACTTATAACTGCAGTTTCATGTCTTGTTTTGATTAGAACTTGTAAGGGATTAAAAGTTGTAAATGTTTATTTTTATCCAAAAATGTAGTTACAGTAGAATAGTAGAACAATATTTTGTTTTATAGCACATTACTTTGAATAGAATTTTGCTCTATGCTTATGTGCTAAAATATACATAATGTTAATCTGATGAATACTAAATTCTAAAACTCCTCAAAATTATGGCCATTGAATACATCAGATTAATGAATTTGTAAACCACTGTGCAATTTCTTTGTAAAGGTGCAATTTGATTATTTTTGTATATGGTTGACTTTTATCATTACATCAGGATAAATAATTTAAAGTTGCTTATGCACAAATCATTTGTAGTTCTACTTAGAAAAATATTTACAGCTATTAAATAAATTTGATTTAATTGATCAATTACTAATTTCTAAAAATCAAAAAATCCCAGGTAAATGGACAGATCCAGCCTCTTCCCCTGAACTTGTCTCCAGGTGTGTCTATTGATTTGAGTGGTCAGTATGTTGCTGTCACAGTTAATGCTGGGTTAAGAGTGAAATATGATGGAGACCACCGAGTCGAAGTAACACTTTCTAAAGTGTATGAGAGAAAAGTATGTGGAATATGTGGCAATTTCAACAATGATCGTCGAGATGATACTGTCAATCTTGCTGGGCAAAAAGAAGACAATTCTATCAGTTATGGCAATGGCTGGCAAGTACCTAGTGATACTCAGTAAGTAAATTGTATTGCTTCTAAATCTGGTCTTTCTTGTCATATGCAATAACTTCTAGCACCATTATACTTTGCATTACTCTTTGTATAGATTACAGACCGACTGAACAATCTTTTTTTAGTCTTTTTTTCTTTCATGAACTTTGCATGTCTGGCATCCTTCACACACCATTAGTGTGTTTAATGCGGAATGATAGGAATTTGCTTCCTTTATTTACCCCCATCTTTGCTGAGTTGCATCATTTCCAGCACGCAAGAGTGATGTTGCTTGTGATGTCAATCTCAAATCTAGGGGTTTGCTTACATGAGGCTCATTCCTCTATTTTTGCATTGCTAGTCCATGGTCCTTGCCTGGTTCTAGGTGTTTGTGATATTGTTGCTTCTGTTCTTGATTTACTGTGTTTGACCTGGTTTATTTTTCATTTCTCTTTGTTTGTTCTGACTAGTTTGACTAAGTTGTCCTCTGGTACCATGACCTTGACTTGTATCCTGCTTTCCTCAGTTAGAGTACACCTTGCAGTGTCTTTCTACAAGTTTTGTCATGACCTGTCTTTCATAAAACCATGTTGACTCCTGCTAGATATATTTTTGTTCAAAATTAATTCCCCTTAAAGGAATTCTATAGTGTTAGGTATACAAATTTGTATTCCTAACACTACAGTTCCCTCTGGTCTCCCCTCCCTCCAGGCTCCCTCAGTAGCACATAAAGGGTTAAACAAAACAGGCCAAAAAAACTTTATTTACTCACTTGATTTGACTGGTGATGTCCCTCAGCATTGAGTTATGCTCCCCCTCCTCCGACATCTTCCAATGGGGAGACCTAATGCACATGTGTGGTGAGTGCTGCAAGTGCATTAGACCCTCCCCATAAGAAATCATTGCCTCATGAAGTGGTCTGGGTGACTATAGTATCCCTTCAACAGTCCTTCAAATATTTTCCCAACCACACATGTTAAAATCGCATCTATAGTATCCAGGTTGAACTTTTGAAGCCTTTTTAAATATAGGAGACACATCTGCTTTTCTCCAGTCCTTTGGTACAATTCCTGAAAAAAAAGAATCCTGAAAAATTAAAAAGAGTTGTATGGATATGTCTGCACTAAGCTCCCTAAGCACACGTGAGTGAATACCATCTGTGCCTGGGCTTTGTTTACATTATCTTTTTTAATTTCTGAAGCACTTTATGCTGTGTTAAAAAAATCACCTGTTTGCTGTAATGCTTTTGTAATAAGGATTTGCAAATCTACAGCCATATATTCTTCTTCCCTATATACTGAAGAAAACTAATTATTTAGAATTTCTGTCTTGTCTTGATCTTCCTTGATTAACTCACCCATCTAACTTTCCAATTGACCAACTCTTTTACTCTTAACCTTTTTGGCATTAATGTACTTAAAAAAAGACATGTTGGAGTTAGTCTTGAGTTGGTTAGGGATTCTATCCTCTGATTTCCTGACACTATTCATTGTCAATCTGTATGACTTTGTACTCCATGCTGTTAAATCATTGTTTCTACCTGACACATACAAAATCGTGTCTGGTGCGATAAGTGCATAAGGATAAAAGTCTAGTGGACTGCCTCAATGAATATTTTTGTTCAGTATTTACAGATGAAAATGAAGTAAGGGGACCTCAGCTAGGAAAAAGGACAAATAAGTCATTTGTTACATGTGAGTTTACAAAGGAAGAGGTTCTATTTCAACTGTCAAAAGTAAATACAAACAAGTCAATGGGGCCTGATGGAATACACCCAAAGTTATTGATAGAGCTTAGTGGTGTACTAGCAAAACCATTAACAGATTTATTTAACCAATCATTGTTAACAGGAGTAGTCCCAAATTGGATGTTAGCGAATGTTGGGAAGAGTTGGGAAACTATAGGCCAGTAAGACTTACTTAGTGGGGAAAGTAATAGAAATCATGTTAAAGGATAGGATTGTTCAATATATAAAATCACATGGATTTCAAGATCAGAGATAATATGGGTTTACTTCAGGGAGATCATGCCAAACTAATCATATTGATTTTTTTGATTGGGTAACTAAAATAATAGATCAGGGTGGTGCAGTAGACATTGCTTATCTAGATTTCAGTAAGGCTTTTGACACTTTCACATAGAAGGCTTATCAATAAACTGCAATCTTTAAGTTTGGATTCCAATATTGGTGAATAGGTAAGGCAGTGGCTGAGTAACAGGCAACAGAAGGTTGTAGCCAATGAAGTATGTTCAAAGCTTGGGCTTGTCACCAGTGCTTGTCACCTCAGGGATCTATACTTGGATAAATTCTCTTTAATATTTTTATTAGTGATATTGCAGAAGGTCTTGATGGTAATATATGTATTTTAGCTGATGGTATGTAAGGTATGTAACAGGGTTGATGTTCCAGAAGGGATCAGCCAAATGGCAAATGATTTAGGTAAACTAGAAAAATGGTCAGAGTTGTGGCAGATGATATTTAATAAGGATAAGTGCATCTTGGACGTAAAAACCCAAGGGCAGAGTACAGAATATTTGAGTCCCACCTCAACATCTGAGGAAAGGGATTTACGGGTAATTATTTCAGATGACTTAAAGGTAGGCAGACAATGTAATAGAGCAGCAGGAAATGCCAGCAGAATGTTTGGTTGTATAGTGAGAGGTATTAGCAGTAGAAAGAGGGAAGTGCTCATGCCATTGTACAAAACACTGGTGAGACCTCACTCGGAGTATTGTACGCAGTATTGGAGACCGTATGTCCAGAAGGATATTGATACTTAAGCGAGAGTTCAGAGAAGGGCTACTAAACTGGTTTATGGATTGCAGGATAAAACTTACAAGGAATGATTAAAGGATCTTAACATGTATAGCTTGCAGGAAAGACAAGAGAGGGGGAGATATGATAGAAACATTTAAATACATAAATAGAATCAACACAGTAAAAGAGGAGACTATATTTAAAAGAAGAAAAACTACCACAAGAGGACACAGTCTTAAATTAGAGGAGCAAACGTTTTAAAATATCAGGAAGTATTACTTTACTGAGTGGTTAGTGGATGCATGGAATAGCCTTCCAGCTGAAGTGGTAGAGGTTAACACAGTGAAGGAGTTTAAGCATGCGTGGGATAGGCATCTGATTGTCTCATTTTATGGAATATTAAATTATAGATCGTTATGTTACTATATAATTGGTTACTATACCTTTAAGATCCTGATACTTTGTTTGAGCAGACCCCATGTCTTGTTTTTTTATATGTTACTTATACATATGTTTTAACATGTGAACTTATTTTTTGGTGAGGTGGTGAACCCATGAATAAACTTACCTTCATTATCCTGGAGTGCTGCCCGTGTTCCTCTTCTTTTAATATTGCATTGGTGGATTCAGCGGTGTCCATCCTTTACCAGGGGTGGGCAATCTTCGGCCCTCCAGATGTTATGGGCTACATCTCCCTTGATGCTTTGCTAGCATTATGGCCCTAAGAGAATTATGGGGGATGTAGTCCAAAAGATTGCCCACCCCTGATTTACACTGAGCGCCTCCTTGGTGGAAGGTCGGAGCATTAATGCGGAACTCGAGTACAGGGTATACTGTTTCTGTCTGGTTTTTATCTCCCGTCACATTCTATGTTTCTATGTTTGGAATACATCTTTTATCTTTTAACTGAATCAAGTGGTCTCTCTAATAGATTACAGATTTGAAGATTACAGAGGTATTTTATAACTATTTTATCAAAATCATGTTTGTGTGCAAATCACTACTGAATCTCATGTTTCTTTTTACTCTTTAAAGCTGCTCATTAGACTCTGACCAAAAATTTGATTGCTCTGATGATGTAAGACGCAAAATTGAGAGCTATGAATCCTGTGGCATAATGCTTCCGTTTGATGGTATATTCCAACGCTGCCATCTAATAGTAGATCCAAGGGAGTACTTTGTAAACTGTTACTATGACATGTGTGCACTACAACTAGACCCACATACACTCTGTATCCACATCCAATCTTATGCAGATGCTTGCCAGGAGGCAGGAGCCATTGTGCTCCCCTGGAGAAAGGAAACTTTCTGTCGTAAGTATGATCTTAAAGACTAACAATTAAGTGAAGCATCAATACTTAAACTAATAAAGCCATAAAACACCTGGTCTATGCTACAATCAGCAGTTTAATTAATTAAGGTCTAACTGACAATTCATAATCAATTTAAGCTACTAAAAAGTCAACAATATTATGCAATTTATATAATTTCCCTTTGACTGACATTAACAATTATTTTTTCTTTAGCAAATATGTCACATTTTCTAATATAACATATCACCTAAACTATACTATATGTTTTACCCAATTAAGGATCAGTGAGGCCCTGTTTCATCATAACACTTTAAAGGGACACTGTAGTCACCTAAACATCTTTAGCTTAATGAAGCAGTTTTAGTCTATAGATCATGACTCTCAGGTTTCCCTGCTCAATTCACTGCCATTTAGGAGTTACCCAGGAAAAATAGGAAGAAATGGGATCTGTGTGAAAATGGGTGTAAAAGGGAATAAACACCACATCCACACTGATCCCATGCACCAGGAGGGCACTCCTCTAGGTTACTGTCTAGAGGATTAGCAGCACTAATAATCAAAAGTAGGACAGGTGCAAATTAAAATTGACCCATAGGTCACAGTAACCTTTCTCCCTTTAGCATTTTTACCGGTGCTCAGGAATTAAGGGGAGATCTACTAACACTCTATGCATTAAAAGGTCAGGACTCATTAAGCCAGTATATTGCAGACTTGGGCGTTTAGCACTTCATCTCCTCACTTACTTAGGCATGGGAGTTTGTTATGATTTACAATTTTTCTTCTATGCCTATCTGGTAAGTCCCACAAGGAGAGAGGCTTTCTTTATTTTATTTTACTTTATCCATCTGTCTACTTTGATTATTAGGGCTGCCAATCTTTTAGACAGTGACCTTTCTCCCTTTGGCACTTTTTCTGGTGCTTCGGTACTAAGTGGAGATTTACTAACACCCTATGCATTAAAGGGCCAGGACTAATAAAGACTATATGTATATTGCAGAATAGAGATGTCGCGAACCGTCCGAAGCTGCCTTCAACATGGATGCTGTCCAGGAAGTAGGAGGGTCTGGGAGGGAGGGTCTGCTGGAGATTGGCCGGGATGTGTCAGCTGACTGGAGTTCGCCGCGAACGGTTCGTGGCGAACCGCGGCGAACCGTTCGCGAGAAGTTCGCGGACGGTTCGCGACATATCTATTGCAGAATTAGGTGTTTAGTAACTTTATCTCCTCTCTTACTTAGGCATGGGAGTAGCCTTATGAGGCTAGTTTGGTATTTATTATTATTTGGAGTTAGTTTATTTTTGTGTTGCTACTTTCTGTTACTTCAGATATTTAGTGGTCTCCCTCTGGTTATATTATTCCATACCACTGGATGCTTTGGTGCCTACATCTTTATCTCCAGCCAGCATTATATTCAGTTTGTGAATTTTTGCTTTTTTGTTTCTGCATTTAGGAGTTAACCCCTTCAGGATGAAGTGAATAATACAAAACAAAATGTAAACAAAAACTGAAATTTGCACTATATGTCTGTCCAACCGTAATTCACCTCTTTCATGTTAAGTGCACCCACACTTATTATATATCATTTTGTTCAGGAGAGACAGGGCTTTCATTTCTCAAGAACTATTCATATATGAAACATAATTTATTATGCATAAAATTTTAAAAAACTGTGAGAAATTAAGAATTTTTTAAAACATGTGTAGTTCCGTCTGACATTTTAGCTGTAAATGTAATAATACTGTTAGTTTTTAGTGCACTAAAATGGACATATTTGTATTTAGCAAAGTCTCACAAGTGCAACAGTACCCCCCATTAACAGGTTTTACGGTGTTATGGAAAGTTACAGGGTCAAATATAGCACATTCCATTTTTCAGTTTTTTCACGTTGAAATTTGCCAGATTAGATTATTACATTTGAGATCATATGGCAGCCCAAGAATGAGAATTACCCCCATGATGGCAAACCATTTGCAAAAGTAGACAACCCAAGGTATTGCAAGTGGGGTATGTCCAGTCTTTTTTTAGTAGCCACTAAGTCACAAACATTGGCCAAATTTAACATTCATATTTGTTTTTGTGTGAAAAAAAGCAAAAAACTAATATTTGGCCAGTGTTTGTGACTAAGTGGTTGTCCTGATGAAAGTTCCTGAATGGAACTGAAACTTTGACTGTTACACTTTTTAGTAAAAGAAGTTCCTAAGAAAGCTACCTGGGAGTGCTGATTTTTTCTTTCATACATTTAGTGCAATCAAGCACCGGGTCAAATAAGGCTTTTTTTCAATATATATATATATATATAAACATATATATATATATATATATATATATATATATAAACAATTTTCGTCCCTGCACACAAGCTGAAATATTATAAATTGCCGGGTGCCAGCCAGGGCTCAAGCATATTCAAATAGCAACAGATATTAGCTGCACTCACGGTCTGTGATAAAATCTTCAATTCTTTATTGGATTCGTTTTAAAAATTAGATCGATGTTTCAGTCCTCCTTGTGGACCTTCTTCAGGATCAAACATGGAATTCTAGTATAACAGTTGTCAAATAGATACATACATAATTACAAACATAATTGAATGTAGGTGCATATTTGCTTACCCCAGGTGTTGTTTGTTGCCTTCGGTGTTCTCCAGAGTCCCAGGAGCATGCATGTGGTGACTCCACCCCCTCGAGTGACATAATGCCGTATCGGCATGATGACGGTCGGCTCGTCTCCACAGCAACGATGTTAAACAAACAGACGATGCTCGTGGAAACTGTCGATCATATAACAGTGAATTAAGAGTACTGTACAAATCCAGTACATATACTGATGATTAATATAAGATTCGGTGAAATAATAAAAGGATGAATAAAGTGCTTAAGTATTATAATAATGCTATCATTAGATCGCCATTCTAAATTGAATATTACCAATATATAAAGTGACATTGCTTATAATGTCAAGTGCACTGAGTGCTCATAGTACCAATAATAAAATTGCATTGAACAGGTGTAAAGTGCTTAAAATATGAACCATAAAGTGGCAAATAGTACAGGAGAAAACTCCTAATGTGAAAAATGCTTCTTGTGTCCCCTTCCATAGGATCAGAAGATCATAAATGTAGCGGAAATACTCTACAGCCCACCCTAGGGTTTTACAGGATTCCCTTGCAAAAGCGCAATACATGCGTGTCATCAGAAATAATTCCAATGATGGAATCAGAGAAGTCCAACTACCGGAAATGACTTTAAAGTTCTTAGAATGAGGCTACAAGAAATATGTCCTACAGAAAGCACTTAAAGAAGCACAGAGTGTCAGCTTTTGTCGCAAGGAAGTAAGCCCGTCAAGACTAGTGTTTCCCATGGAATTTCATCAAAAGAGCCCACAAATAGCCAATACAATACGACGGAATTGGCGGATGATCTCAAATGATGACACGCTGCCAAAAGTTTTTAAAGAAAAAACTCTTCTTTGCTACAGAAGGAACAGGAACCTTAAAGACCTGCTGGTTCATACAGATTCTATTAAAAGCTATACACAAGCCAATAGTGTCCAAAACCGAAGTTCAGTATGATGCGTAGGCTGTGTTACGTGAAGCCACATGTTACCAGCACGTATATTTAACCATCCTCATACTAATAAAAAATACGAGATCAAACACACTATTACCTGTAAAACATCCCACGTTGTTTACAAGTTGACCTGTCCCTGTGGTCTCTCCTACATCAGAAAAACCGAGACGGCCTTATGTGAACGGATAAGAGGACACAGGTCCAGCATCAAATTAGCCTACAGAGATGGAAAGTCAGACAAACCCGTGGCAAAACATTTTTACAACTGGACCATGCCTTATCAACCTTGAAATTTATAGGCATTGATTATGTGCCATTGCCAGCGAGAGGTGGTGACCAAGGCAAAATGTTACTAAACTGTGAGGCCTATTGGATCCATGAACTAGGCACTTTATTCCCAAAGGGACTTAATGAAACTATCCCTTTCTATTTGTTTCTGTGAACTAGGGTGAAAGGACATTCGTTTATGATGCACTAATCTTGCTTGCAACTTGAACTTTTGTTTTTAAGATAGAAGTATACTACCTAGTCACAGTGGGGATTATCAATAGGCATGTTTATAAATGTATTAAAACAAAGCCAGTATGTACTCCACTACTTAAGCATTTCCCCTGTCGCAATTGGAATAAACAAAGGGTTGCTGCAATAGAAGTAATAGCTATAATTTATATACAGCACTAGTAGACAGGGTAGTACTCTCTTCTTAAGAGAATAATCATTATTTTTAACAGATGTTATAAATAATGTAATCTTAATTTTAATTTCAAAAAGGATCTGTATCAAATTAGCACTTGGCACTTTTTTCACATTAGGAGTTTTCTCCTGTACTATTTGGCACTTTATGGTTCATATTTTAAGCACTTTACACCTGTTCAATTCACTTTTATTATTGGTACTATGAGCACTCAATGCGCTTGACATTATAAGCAATGTCACTTTAAATATTGGTAATATTCACTTTAGAATGGCGATCTAATGATTGCATTACTATAATATTTAAGCACTTTATTCATCCTTTTATTCTTTCACCGAATGTTATATTAATCATCAGTATATTTACTGGATTTGTACAGTACTCTTAATTCACTGTTATATGATCGACAGTTTCCATGAGCATCGTCTGTTTGTTTAACATTGCCATGGAGACGAGACAACCGTCATCACGCCAATACGACATTATGTCACTCGAGGCGGCGGAATCACCACACGCATGCGCCCCGGACTCGAGAGAACGCCGAAGGCAACACACAACACCTGGGGTAAGCTAATATGCACCTATATTCAATTATGTTTGTAATTATGTATGTATATATTTGACAACTGTTATACTAGAATTTTATGTTTGAACCTGAGGAAAGTCCACAAGGAGGACTGAAACATCAATCTAATTTTTAAAACGAATCCAATAAAGAATTCAAGATTTTATCACAGACCGTGAGTGCAGCTGATATCTGCTGATATTTTTATATATATATATTATATATAAATACACTTTTGCCTTATTAGTTTCCCCATAAGATAAAACCTTTTTTGTCCTTTTATCTTAACCTGTATGGGTATGCTGTTACCTTGTATCCTTGCATTAATGATCTCTTATAGTTGTCTATTTTGTGTACACAATTACTCTTGTATATTATTGCTTACAAATAGGTAATGTTGTCACACCTATTATTGCTATGTTTTAGACTAATATTTTTTCAATAATAAAATAAATCTAATTGCAAATTAAACTGTATTTGTACTTTACAGCTCTGTCATGTCCACCCAACTCTCATTATGAGCAATGTGGTACATCGTGTCCAGCCACTTGTTCAAACCCAGAATCCTCACCCACTTGCAATCTCCCTTGTGCTGAGGGATGTGTCTGTGACACAGGATATGTTCTCCAAGATAAGAAGTGTGTCCCTACAGCAGAATGCCAAGGATGCTGGGATGGCATTAAAAATCATCCAGTGAACTTTGAATTCTGGACCGATGACACCTGTTCTACAAAGTGCAGATGTCCATCTGAAGGAAGTGAATTTACCTGTACTCCTTCTTCTTGTCCAGATGACAAACACTGTGGCATAACAAATAGCATACCTGGCTGCTATGATCAAACATTTGGCAACTGCCTAGTCTATGGGGATCCTCATTATAATACCTTTGACAAAGCAGTTCATCACTATATGGGAGTGTGCACCTACACACTCTCCAAACTCTGTAGTAATTCCACTCTGCCATATTTTAATATTGAAGCAAAGAATGAGCATCGTGGTAACCCAACAGTGTCATATATTCAAATGGTTATGGTAGATATTTACAATCATCAAATAACAATTGTGAAAAATGAACCAAAACGTGTCCTGGTAAGCTACCCTTCAATGTTCTTGATCCTACTAAGTGGGCATATTTTATTATACATAATTAATAATGTAATTGTCTATGGCCATCAAATAACAATTGTGAAAATGGAGCAAAATGGTGTCCTGGTAAGCTGCAATTTAATTTATTTAAAAAAATCTGCAACGTAAAGGTAAAGTAAGTTATTTTGTTAAGTAGAAAGAAAACTAAATTCTGTTCTCTGTTTAAAGTTGCAATGTTTGATTTAAATGGTGCTAATCAGGACTTGTTTTATTGACTCTTGTTAACTGTACAATGATGTTCAGTATTATTTAGATATACATATTTTTCAATGACTCCTATTTTTTTATTTAAGCTTAATGGTGTATGGACCATTCTCCCAGTAAGTTTGGATAATGGAAACTTGACAGTAAGCCGAAGTGGAAAATATATCCTTGTGGAGACTGATTTCAAACTCACAGTCTCATATGACACTGATCATACAGTGGAGGTAAATGTTCCTACCACCTATTTCAACCAGACATGTGGAATATGTGGTAATTTTAATGGAGACCTAATAGATGACTTCATGATGCCTAATAGTCAACAAGCACAGGACACTAATCAGCTGGGAAACAGCTGGAAAGTAGATGATGATGATCCATCATGCACACCAGTTCCTCCACCTCCAATTTGTCCACCAGAGAAGGAAGAATTTTATGAGAGAGATACCTACTGTGGCCTTATAAGAAGTAAAGATGGTCCATTCCAGGCTTGTCTTTCTGTAATCAACCCAGACAGATTCATGAGCAGCTGTGTGTTTGACCTGTGTGTCCTTGGTGACGCTGCTCTGTGCAATGCATTAGAGGCATATGCTGATGCCTGCCAACGGGCTGGAGTTAGCAGCACTTGGAGAAACTCAACATTCTGCGGTGAGTATTGGGTATGGTTTCAAAAAATGTGTCGGGTACCTGTTATAACTACCCAGTGCTATTCAAATAATCTTTAGACTGCTTAAACAAACACATTTTAAATCAAACTGGAATAATTACAAATATATATATATATATGAAATTATTAATATTATTGGCATTTATATAGAGCCAACTTATTTTGCAGTGCTTTACATTATTATAAAGGAGGGAATATAAAAATAAATTAAACAATCATAATATCTTACAAGAACAATAGATTAATGAGGATCCTGCTGAACAAGCTTACGATCTATAGAATGTTTAAGAATGACTTGTAAAACACATTTTTTTTTTTTTTTTTACTATTTACTCAGCTCTCAATTGTCCTGCTAACAGTCACTACAACCAATGCACCAGTGCATGTCCTGACACTTGTCTGAATCAGAATGCATCAAGCAATTGCACTAAACCATGCATTGAGGGCTGCCAGTGTGATAATGGCTTTGTTCTTAGTGGGAGTACCTGTGCTGAAGTCAATGATTGTGGATGTTCTTATAACGGCACATATCATCAGGTCAGTTTTGGGCACTTTATTCACTTCACCTCCTTGCTGGTAGTAACGTGAAATGACACTGAGATTTCATGTAGTGCTGGGAGAACTTAAATATTGTCTTCAAGAAAATCTTATCCAAGATGATGATCAACCAACATATAAGCAGTAAATTATCACCTTGTGTATAGGTGGTGTGCTACACCCATCTTATTCTCCTTATTCCTATCCAAACAGATGTCATGTATGAAGACTATTATGGAGAGTTCAATAGTTTTATGTTTAGAAATAATACATCTGTTTGTGACGGACTGACTGATTGATTGATTGAATTACACTGTTATAAATATGTCTAATTTTACAGGAAGGAGACTGGTTCTGGCTAGAAGAATGTGAGGGCCAATGCACATGTATCGGAAATAACCATGTAACCTGCAATGACAAGAAATGTCAAGCAAACCAAATGTGTAAAGTCCAAAGGGGTGTTCTAGGATGTCACCAGTCAGACTCCACCACTTGCCATATTTATGGTGACTCACACTATGTCACATTTGATGGCAAACTGTACCATTTCCAAGGAGCTTGTACTTATACCACTGTGGAGTCCTGTCGATACTCCTCTGTTAACTTCTCAATCACAACGAGGAATGAGCACAGGGGAACTTTGGACTGGACAGGTTTAAATTCAGTTGCTGTTAAAATTGGGGACCAGAACATTGTACTGGGGAAGCAAAAAAATGCTTATGCGTCACACATAGAGGTAAGCAAATTTGAAATGTATTATGATTGTTTGCAGGTAAATTCATAATTATTGAGGGTTTAATATATTTAATTTTTATGGACATCTTAAACTGTGTTCATATGTTTAACTTATTTTATTTTTTTAGGTAAATGGAAGAAAGATTACTTTTCCAGCACATACAGGCTCTGGAATCTTAATATATAATAGTGGACCCTATGTTGTTCTCCAAACTGATTTTGGCCTGGAGGTTAAATTTGATGGAAAACATGAACTGTTTGTTAAAGTGCATGAAAAGTTCAGAGGTCAACTCTGTGGTCTTTGTGGAACTTATACTGGTAATATAATGGATGATTTCTTAAAGCCTGATGGTTTAATGGCACACACCTCAACTGAGTTTGGAAACAGCTGGCGAATTTCTGATGACGACTGGGAGTAAGTATGACATAACAATAAAGCCACAGCACAACACATCTAAATAGAACCACAATAATTGTAAAAAGAGTACTGAAAACACAATAAATAATATATCCAGTTAATGTAGTTTTGGTACCAGCAGAGTCCTTTTCCCATACCTAAGCTTGTTGCTGTGGCTCTCAGCCAATTCATGTTACCTAAATATGGACAAAAATAAAGGAACACACTAAGCACTATTCTCAGCCAATTCATGTTACCTAAATATGGACAAAAATAAAGGAACACACTAAGCACTATAACCACTACAGCCTGTTCTACTGGTTATGGTGCCAGGTGTGCCTTGACGTCCTCCCATAGAAAATATTGATATGACAGCATACCTGAGGTCCATTGAAAGCCTTTTACCACCTCCCAAAGAGCTAGAAGCTCATCCATGGAGCTGTTCTTCTCCACTGAGCTAAACCCTGCTGTGTAGTGCTGGAGTAAAGGTTGAGACTGTACTTAAACAGTTTGACAATCCTGGCAATCCTGGCACCATAACTATCACAGCAGGTTCTTGTAGTTATTGTACATATACTGTTTCTTTATTTACTTATTATTACTGAATTTATTTATTTACTTATGTGGAATTGTATCTTTGGCAATATCAATATGCTATTCGCTATTGGCTGGATCACAGACTTCTGGAGTACCCTAGCTTTGTGTCAATCTTTTCAAAAATGGTTTGACACAAAACCAGGGAACAGAGGCCATACTGGCACCATAACCATTATAGAGGGCTGAAGTAGTTTACAGGTTTAGGCTGCCCATTTCAACAACATTGCAAAATATGTTAAAGCATGATGTATTGTGTGGATTTACATTAAAGCAGGGGAGGTCCAAGGGTGCAAAAGACTACGGGCTTTTGCCCAAGGTATATTTTTTGTCCCATCCTGTATATATTAATTTAAGTCCCTCCTAAAAACAGCCCTAAAAGATGTCCTAAATCCATTCCTAATCCCTGTGTTCTGACATTGGGACCCCAAGACATGCTGGATTAACTTGTCAACCCACTGCATTAAAGCCGTAAACCCACATCAATATCCCCACATTGTGCTTTATAATAAAATATCTTGCCCTAAATATTACACAGGACTTGATACGAACAATGAAATGGTGCTAGAATTAGAGTGATGGCTTTTTAGGACCGCACTGAGGGCTCCAGTCCTTGACAGCCCCTCCCTAACTACACCTCTGCATCAAAGGGAATCTTTCATGACATACCTTAACCTCTGCGCCCACACCACATTGTTCTTATAGAGGTGCTTGGTATACTTCTGTTACATATTTAAACATTGTTACATTTAAAAAAATGCAAATGTATAAAAATGGATAATATAGTAAAACTACATTTTCCTTTAGGTGTGAAGATTATGTTATAATTCCTCATCCTTGTAACCCTGCTGATGAGAAACTCTATGAAGAACAATGCAAAATCATTCTCTCAATCAATGGTCCTTTTGAAGAATGTCACTTTTATATCCTACCTGGGATGTACTTTGAGAGCTGCGTCTATGATCAATGTGCCACAGGAGGAGACATAGAACAGTTTTGCAATGCCTTAGAGTCATATGCTGCCGCCTGTGAGAATGTTGGTCTCAACCTTGAAAACTGGAAAGATGACGCTATCTGTATGGAGGGAAAAAAATACCCTGATATTTGAGATCCTATAAATGTTCAGCAGTGTCTTCCTAATACATGCAATTATATATGTTATATATCATTTAAAAATGTTTTTCATATTGTAAATTTCAAATTCTATTGTGATTTAAATAATATTTAATTGTATTTTTACATTTATCTTATCACCTGAATCTCTTATATCTCTGGAGACACTCACCTCTCAATAAAAAATAAATGATGAATTATTGTAATCACTTTCTGTAGCAGTCCTAGATAACCTGGAAGAGTTTTTAAACATTCTCAAATTAATTACAAATTTCCTAATAATTCTCTCGAAAAGCCTTACTGCAGACCATGAAGTTCAGGAATTTGATGTACCACTACCACAATATTCTGGAAAATGTAGTGAACTGGACTGAAGACAGACTCAAGATAATACAGGTGTCTGTTAAAAGCATACATTTATAAATTTATAATTATTTTTAGTGTTCCATCTTTGTTAACTTCTTCAGAATCTGGTTGTATGTCTCTCTGGAATCACAACATAGTATTCTAATAGAACTGTAGCTAGAAATCTATCATTGTCAATAAACCCTCTCTACTACATCCTAACCATATTTTATTTTGATGTAAGATACATTTTGCTTAAAGCCATTTTTTCAAGATCTATGATAAATAATATAATTCCCCTTGAGTAATGCACAAGAAAGCCAAATTAGTATATCATGGTTTTGTTTTTTTCTATACTTGTAGAATACATTTTGCAGGCAATCATAATTGGCTATTTTTAAAACACTGAAACCCTGTGGTTTTAAAATGCTAAGGGAAAATAAGATACCCATTCCTTGCTTAAAGGGACATGCATCACTTGGCATTTTTGTTTTTAAACCAGCAAGCAAATACACTTACATAAATATACAAACTAAAAAAAGTTTGAAAGTGTGTGATAAACATTACTTACTATAAACTTTTTCATATTGATTTTTTCTGGTGCAGCTTACAGCGAAGGTAGTTTTTTCAGCCTTTTCCCCTCCTCTCACCCACTAGTCACCCATCTCAGTTTTACATGAACTAGCACTAGGGCCCACCAGGTTAATAATGTAATAAAGAGGGGAGTGGTGGGTGGGTCAAACAATTGGCAGCAGCCCAGGTAAGAGGGTTGCCTGATTTTTAATACCAGGGTAACCCCTCCCACAACTACAGACTACATCCTTTATATTTGTTGTCGTGGGCAAAAGTGACATTGTGATAATACAATGTCGGTTGTGGAGCAAATTCGGTGGTGGTGTTCTGAAACCGACATACTCGTAGGCCTGTAAATAAAGAGGGCAAAAAGATACCAAATTACACACTTTTACATAAACAACTAACATGCCAATTTCTTAATGCTTCCTTAATTTTTCTCGGGTAGCTTTTGAATCTATTTCATGGGGTTTCCAGCATTCTATTCTTTAATATATGTACTGAAATATCCATGTTAGAAGTAGTCAAAGCTGCACCGATACTGAAAGAATGTGTTGTAAATGTAGATGGGTCAGTGCTAAGTATCATGAAGAACATCGTAAAATAATTGACGAGTGGTACATGGACAACCTGTTATTGTGCAAAAGTAGGGGTCTAGTGTTTCTTGGGCCCCATTTTTGATGGATAAAGGGGATTCTATTGGAGGGCCTGTTTCTTGGTATGTAGTGTTTTAATATAGAGTACTTAATGAACCACTATTTAATAAATTCATAGATAGACAACTGGATGAGTCTGATAACGTTATTATGTAACTTCGTATGGCGTGAGAAACCATAAATGTCATGTAACAGACTGCCTTAATTGAGCTATTAGTGTAACTTTTCAACAAGTACTGTCAAGTATCTGATAGATTGTTGTTTGGGTGTTAAGGCTGGTCTAGTCATTATATACCCTTGAGAAAGTTTAATAGGGAAAGTAAGCACAATGGTTGTGATTAAGAAAGCAGTGAGTAAATGATGTTGAATGCCTGTCAGGTAAGTTTATTGTTTATGTTATAGGTTGGCTTAAAGTGGCAAAAAGGAAGTGAACGTCATCCTAGTCTTGATGGAATAGATTCAGTGATCTGAAAGTCAAATATGAATCCATTGAAATAGTCAGGGCTCTGTTATATGTACTTTGTATGATTGGGGATAGCACACGGGCAGCTTTTGTGGCCAACCTGCTATGACCCAAGTCTGGTGAGATAGCTCAGTGGGCTAATGCATCATAAGAAACTGTTTATCTCTTGTGGGTCACAGGTTCAATTCCCAACTAAGAATAATTCATTTGGTAACAAGAAAATATCTGACTGTTCCTTTCTTGGTTAAACATCACTTATTCTCTTTGTTCATAAAAGGGATCAACACAGTAAAGGAGGAGACTATCTTTAAAAGAAGAAAAACTACTACAACAAGAGGACATTAATTCGAAGTCTTAAATAAGAAGGGCAAAGGTTTAAAAAAAATATCTGGAAGTATTACTTTACTGAGAGGGTAGTGGATGGAATAGCCTTCCAGCTGAAGTGGTAGAGGTTAACACAGTAAAGGAGTTTACGCATGCGTGGGATATGCATAAGGCTATCCTTAGCAGAGAGTGATAATAAAATAGGGAGAAATTATGTTCTTACTGTACGAAAAATATCTGTGTGATACTATTCAGTTTAGGGAGAGGATGTAGCTGACCTAAATGATAGAAATATTACTGACTAAAGAATAACTGACCAATAGTAATTGCATTGTAATATGATAATTAGAGTATGTATAACAGGATAAGTCCTATTGTTATAACAAACTCAATTCCTCTAATTCATAGGAGTTTACTGTAATAAGCAACAGAATATTGTCTATAATTTATTAAATGATAACAGTCATGAATTCTAGTGCAAGCGATATATTCAAGTCTAACTCTCTGCTAGACCCGCTTCAGTCTGGTTTCTGCGCTAAGCACTCTGTGGAAACGGCAATGACCAAAGTATCCAATGATCTACTAACTGCAAAATCTCGTGGTCACTACTCTATCCTAATTCTCCTTGGCCTGTCTGCGGCTTTGACTCTGTTGATCATCAACAGCTTCTACTCATCCTCCGCAATATCGGTATTAAGATATTGCTCTCTCCTGGTGCTCCTCCTAACTCTTCCAGCGCTCTTTCAGTGTTTCTTTCTCTGGCTCTGCTTCTTCTCCCCAACTCCTCTCTGCTGGTGTCCCTCAAGGTTCAGTCCTTGGTCCCCTACTGTTCTCTATCTATACTGCCTCCCTTGGTAAACTCATTAGCTCCTTTGGCTTCCAATATCATTTCTATGCGGATGACACGCAAATCTAGCTGTCCTCTCCTGATCTCTCCACGTCCCTCTTGACTAGCGTCTCTGACTGCCTCTCTGCTATTTCTAACTGGATGGATGCCCACTTCCTTAAACTCAACTTGACCAAAACTGAAATTCTGGTCTTTCCTCCCTCAAGTGTTGCTACTGCTGTGTCTCCCTCCCTCCAAGTCAATGGTGCTACCATCAGCTCCACCACGCAGGCTCGCTGCCTAGGTGTTTCTTTTTGACTCCAACCTCTCCTTCATGCCTCATTATCAGTCTATTGCCGAATCCTGTCATTTCCATCTCATTCCCAGATGCGATTGAGGTGTTGGTCCATTCCATTGTCCTTTCTCGCCTTGACTACTGTAATCCACTTCTTAGTGGTCTTACGTGCTCCCAACTTGCGCCGTTACAGTCCATAATGAATGCTGCAGTGAGGCTCATCTTTCTGTCCGCCCGCATCTCCCACGCCTCACCCTTCTGTCAGTCCCTACACTGGCTTCCTGTAAAATATAGGGCTCAATTTAAAATTCTAGTTCTTGCTTTCAAATCTCTACATAATGCTGCTCCCACCTATCTATCCTCACTAATACACAAGTAGGTCCCGTCTCGGCCCTTACGCTCTGCTGAAGACTTACGTCTATCTTTTGTCCCTACTCCCACCTCTGATGCTCGGTTTCAAGACTTCTCCAGAGCTGCACCGTTTCTGTGGAACTCACTTCCCTCCTCCTTCTTCATAAAAGCGTATTAATTAAACTGTTAATAGCTCCCGACTGATTCCTCTCTTGCAACTGTCATTAGTCTAATACTAGCTTTACCTTTTATGTCACGTTACTCCACTCATGTAAGCTCATGTAAGCATGTAAGCTCATGGAGCAGCTTAAGGAAGCAAGGTGAAAGGTTAGCATAGGACCCACTTGAAGGGTTTGCCTTTACGTGGAAGGTGGGCTAAAGTCTCTCATGGCCATTGGAGAAACGAAATAACCTCCATTTGTTTAAATATGCATAGGGATTTGGGAAGAGCGCAGGAAACTTTTTTCTTTTGTTTTTACTGTATGTATTGGGCCTGATATGTACTATGGTTCTTGCTGCCGCCCAGGAGTGATGGGAGTTTGAGCGCAGGACTTGTTTTTTTGTATTCACATAACTAAATGGCACTAAGGCCTAAAAGCAAGCCTAGGAGCATATACATGTACAAATTATTATATATTCGTGGGACAAACACAGGCCGAGTTAATTGAGACAAGAAACCTTGAACCCAGGACACTGGGTTGAACTGGCCTTCTAACTTATGCTAGGTGTCAAAATACTAACTATCTGGGGGGAAGGTAAGGCCCTGCAAGGTGCTAAGCACCTGTGAGAGGCTCTATCTATGATTTGGGATGTGGGGCTGATGCTACCGAGTGTTGCAATACTTACAGTTTGATGAGGGAGCTTCTGAGATGTTACATAGACTGATGGAGGTGGTGTAGTTTGTTCATTAAATTACCACCAGGCTACTGGTAGCGTTTGTGGCCAGATGAGGCCTGAGAAAGGGTGCCTGAAGGCTGAATTACACCTTACTGAAACCTGGATGTCGGACAGGAACTAAGGCTTACATAGTATTTTGAGTTTGGGGCACTCCAGGAACATATTACTTATGCCTGGTGATGGTCAATGAAAAAAGATACACAAAGCATAAGGATAGCACTCTTAGGACTTGAAAAAAATCTTATATATGATTTATAAAACTTAA